ACGACGAGCTGTACAGTTTTTTCATTCCTTGACGATGGGCTCGCGTGAGAGTTCGAAACGTCGGATAAATAAACCATTGGCCCCAGCGATCGCCTTCCCGTCTTCTTCTATTTCCCATAATGTGCTAGACCAGTTGTCGTGCCCTTTCGATAAATTATCATCTGGCCAGCACATTTATTTGGGAACGGAATACAAGTGAACATGAGAATGATGGGAAAAATCGATTGCAGCGCTTTTCACACCACTAGGCTGTGGGAATAGGTTGGGGGAGGCGGGGGAGGTAATAAGAGAAATCCAGTCAGGAGGCCGTGAGGTGTAGATAGAGCGTGTCTGGGGAGGGGGGAAGAGGTCGCGTAGGAATGCGTGCGGTTATCCAACGTTTGGCATGTTCGACGCAGAGCTCACATCAGGTTCTTTATGAGCACAAAACGGGCTTCCGTAGCCTAGTGGCAGTCGACTCTGATGTTGCCAGCAGACGATGACTCGACGGTTTAGGGTAGTTCGCTGAGGCCTTGTGATTCGAACACCCATCGTCGTCGTCGTCGTCTTCCTCCTCCTTCTCCTCCTCCTTTTCATCATCAGCATCATCATCATCATCATCATCATCATCATCATCATCATCATCATCATCATCATCATCATCATCACCATCACCATCCGATAGTGAGCTCGGCCGTGGCAAGCAAAATGTTTTAGACCGCAGTTTCCGGGTCATTTTCACTACAGGCCTATAGGGACATCATCACAAGAATACCGCTGTCAGAATGGTCGGAATGCAATGATTTGTGACATTTTGAAGTCCTGCATCGACGATTAGTAAGTCAGCGGTATGTGTACCGGGCCCTGTAGCGGATGCTCAGGCGTGCCTATCTTGGTAGTCTAACAGATCCAAACGTTTGGGAGTGTTAAGATCTGCACATATATATCGCATAAATGAAGCAATTAGAGGCAGTTACACTACCGAAAGTACGCAGGATAGATGCTGGCTCATTATAGCACCACAACGTACTGGTCCCAATTACCGATCTTTCCAATCACTCCCATCGATCGCATTCGTGTAGTGAGGCACTTTGTTGTTTTCAGCTGAATTTCAGTGTTTATGCATGTTATTTTTTCTCCTTTTTAGGCTCATATAAAGATGTTTCTGGATAGGAAATTACATTTTATTGGACGTCATTGTTTGACTGCATAAAATACTATGGTATTAAAATTGAGGTTCCGGCTTTGAAAAACTCAGCCGTCTCTCTGGAGTTAGAACTCGCGACGGAGCTGATAAGGCTCACGAACAGTTAAAAAAACAACCAAAAACATCAAGTAAACGCAGGGCGCTCGGGGCAAGCATTCTAAGTTAAGTGGTTGCAAGACTGGTTTTACTGAAGCTTTGCCTCTTCAGCCAAGGATTTTAATCCCAACGAGGTTACGGAATTTTGCACAATCCAAAAGTCAATTGAAGCATGTCAAGTCTGTCAAACACATCTATTCTGGTAGCAGAATTATTCAACTAATAATTCAGAAAGCAGTTAGGCAAAACGTGTTCTATCGGTTCGAGTCAGGCTCGTGTATTTACACAACAAATTAATATCAGGATTGACAGCAAAAAGAGAGTGAGTACTTTCGTAGGCATGAACAGATTCAAAATCTTTTAAGGCAAAGGACGTGCGGAAACTCTGAAGCGGCACTTCTGAGTGTCAACCTGAACGTGGGCCTCCGAAGAATGTTGGGCCACGGAAACCGTGGGGCATGCATTCGAACAGTAACTTTCTGCATACTTTTGGATGTCTGAAGGAATGTGGGTCAATATGAATTTTGCAGAAACAGTACGGGCTTACTGCATGATCTTAGAGGTTTTTAACGACGAATAAATCCCCTAGTCTGAAAATGTGTTCATTGAACGAAAAGACCTTCATGACCTCTATCGAACCAATGGATGCCCAAGCTACTTCATCAAGCAAAGCAGGCGCTGAGACAACAAACGACGGCCACAAAAAGAACAAACCGGAGTCTGGAGGGCTATTCCTTACATTAAAGGAGTTTCCGAGGCGGTTTTACGACTGTTACAACCCGTCAGGGTAGGCATTGCCGATTGACCCCAGCCAACAATTCATCGCCGTTTGCTGTAACCCAAAGACGTACTGCTACCCACTGAAACCTCAGCAGTTGTCTAACAAATACATTATAACGATGAAGACTGCAACTACGTTGAGGAAACCGGACACAAATTGCAGACCCGCCGACATGAGCACGAACTGGCAACTCGGAGACTAGACCCAAACTCACAGCTTGCGGCTCACATTGGGAAACTGGTCACAGTTTCGATTTTCAGGGAGCAGCCGTCATAGGCAGGGACACCTCAAGGACAGGGCGCGTCACATTTCAGGCTTAGTAATCAGATGCCAGCTCCATCAACAGGCATCTAGACCTTCCTCCGGCCTAGAAAGTCCTACGTCATTAAATACGCCGTGACGAAGACAAGACAGTCATACGGAAACTAAGACTACCGAGCAAACACGGCCTGTCGACCAATTCACCCAAAAGATGGTCGCAAACGCAACTAACCCTAATTGAATTGACGACATACTATACAGGAGGCCACTAACACCCACAAACGACGGCCAGTAGGCCGAGGCAGCGAAAGAAGAAAAGAAAATCGATCGACCCAAGGCCAACTAATTCGGCCGTCTATTCAAAATTCTGATCTTTTTTTCACCAGACGCTTTGATAATGGACAGCCGCCCCAGCTCTTCGAAACGTCAGCCAAACAAGCCCCACTTCATTTTCCTCAGGCTCCTTTTTGTAAGGGTGTGCAGTAACGCTCACAAAAATCTGCATTTATCCGTATAGTGGCAGCTGGCTTAAGAGGTCCACGATTTTGAGCCACACGTACGGACAGAGGTTCGTCTCAGGATTCCTCGTAATTACGGACTGAACACTGTTTAATTTAATATCCTCGACCTGGATAAGATAACCTACTGCCACATTAGCCCAATATCTGAAAACCTAGCAAACGACTCCTGAAAAGCAAACTGACTTACGCAAACATTGAGGTCCAGTGTCAAACTATGAGCCACCACAATAGTAATTGTTTAAAAAGATATTGGCATAGACAACCAAGATGATCGCCATCAAAAGTCAGCTCGCCCTGTCTATTCGCCGTAAAACACGGCTGGAATAATTTTTATCCTTAAAAATTGACTCCGTAGATTTCGGTCTGTATCGCGCGAATCGAGCGCATTGTATAATCAACGTATTCGGACGGCAGTACAAGTCGAACGGTTTCGTGCTCTCTATATACGTATGCCAGTGACGAAGGTTTACTAATAATTTATCGCAGGACTCAAAAGACTCTTATGAAAACATTTGTTTAACCTTGGTTTGATTTGCGATTGCTATTTGCATTCGACCAACATGTCCAGCAGGGCATACATATGCAAAGTAGAGGAAACAGGCGTGTTTGTCGAGCACAGATTGTTTTACTTGTGTCAATCATCACTCGGCTTTGTTGGGAATTACTCACTAAATATGCTCGACTAATAAATTACTATCGTCTGCAGCCAATACGTCTGGGAGTGCAGTGATGATTTGCCCAGCCCTGCTAGATCCCGATGGTAAATTCAAGATCATCCTAAAGTATGATTGGCCGCATCGACCAAGACGGGTTCTGCCCACGCATGGGTTTCTTACGCGCACACTTGTTGGCGCCTTAGGCCCGGAACAAATATGTCAATGCCCTGACCACAGCGTAGAGGCAGGTCATAACCCAACTTCTACGGGAACGAAGGCGACTGAATGCGTCACCAGTAAAAGATATCTGGGGGGTGGGCGAAAAAGGGGCCGTGGCATTGACCATGCACCCCTTCATATGACCTACGAGTAACCTTTTATGTGGGGCACTTTGTATACGACTCCTCGGGTCATCGAACAATCCTCTCCCTCTGCGTGCCTTGTTCATTTATTTTCTCTAATACCTGTACAGAGACCACAGCTTCGCTTCCGAAGCAGAGTCTTCGGTTGACCCTCCTATTGAGTTGTGTCCGGATATACGAAAACTCCAACGGCCAACAGGGCTCGAGTCTGATGACAGAAATGCACCCGGTCCCTGACCCAATAGACGTATTTAAAAATTTCAAATTTGCACATAATCATGCCAAAAATACTTAATGGATACACAGTCAAACAAAAAGCACTGACCCTTATGCAAGAGAGGAACAGTAAACACTGAGTTTCAACACAGGTACAGAGAGGATAACCTTGTCGTCCGAGAAATGTTGTCTTATAATAGTGCCCGATAGGGTTGGATAAGGATAAAAATCAAACAAAGTGCTGGTTTGCCGTAAAACTCTGGCATTTTGGCGGGTACTAGAGGAGATACATGATATTTCGAATAAACGGTTCAGAAAAAATACCCGAACTTTGGGACACTTTCTTTGGATAAATGACTCCCCTTCGTCCAAGATTACCAAGTAGACCGAAGTCCTGCAAGCAAACGTCGCGGACAGGAAATCAGTTCTATTATGCGCGGCATGCTATTTTACGGGTTTCTAAGTTTATGCATATTCGAATAACGCCCCGAGCGTTAGGGTGAGTAATAACATGTATATCTCAATGAATGATATGTAAGAAGACTGAGTCAAATGTATCAGTGGTGCCCATCGCGTTTGGAAACATTATTAAAGCTTTGACGCACACGGATCTATAAAAGTGGTAATCACCTGTCTATCAAAAGCCGTTCGGTCGACACACTCCTTCAGTGGGCCGGAATAAACTGCACCAGACTACCTGCCATAAGTGTTTCACGGCCCTACCTCCTTGACTTTATCCTGTGAAAAAATATCCATACACGTGTTGGACAAAGTAAGAGCCGGTTGCCATTGAGATGCCAAAATGAAGGGTATCACCTAGCTCAAAGCATACCAGAGACAGTCTCTTAGTTGTTAGAGTTCTTTTGCAGGTTTTTACCCCCAGAAGAATGGTTAGAACTCGATACACTTGAAGGATGTTTTGTCCCTTTTCGAGAACAATAGCCAGGCGACTCCTTGCACTTGCAAAAGAATCAGACATCATTTTTCGGTTTGGTTGAAAGCGTATCGCGACGAATGCAGATATCAATCAAGTCGATAAAGATTTGAACGTTGTTCGGACCCTGTGAGTGGTGAGCCAGGCGCTCGACTGCCGAGCATGGAGACATCGGCAATGCATTTTCCCGATCGGAGAAGTAATGGCTATCAGATTAAAGAACCCAATTGTTTTCACTCCGAAAAACTTTTCAAGGGTTAACGTCCATCATGACCCTCTCCACGACCACCGGACGTCCGCCAAGTTTACTGTTTTTAGAATGTGTCATCCATTTTACCTCTGCCCTCACATCTGCAACCCTTACCCTGCATGCCCCTCTGACATGACAGTTTTCTATCCGCACTTTTTCACTGACAACGCATGAATAATTGATAGCAGGTACCCCAGTGGGCTAGATCGCAGTTGGTAGCCAGGCCTCGTATTACAGGTGACTGGGGGTTTGTTAACAGGGGCTATTTGTGGGGTTGCACAATCACATCTTACCCACTTGGCTTCCGTTAAACATTTGAGGTTAGGATTAGGGTACCGCCTAATGGTTTCCGACTTTCGGGTTAGGGTTTTGCCTTCAGGCTTAGGTTTTCGGGTTACGGTTACGATTTGAGCGTACGATTAGGTTTCAGTATTACGGTTAGGTTTTTACTT